GCGACTTGAACGCTACTGCGCATGCTCGGCTCGTCGTCTACATGCAGTCCAGAAGGTGAAAACCCGCGGCTTGCCGTCCAGAAGTGAACGTGAGTAAATTTAAGCGTATTTTTACCCCAAAATCCACTTTCCAGAGTGAAATTTCATCTCACTTATTTGATTGTCAACGTATTTGTTCTTGGTATGTTTGTTCTAAAAACACCTGAAAATCGTTTGATGTATATCATTGTGGACAAGCACCAGCGAGCCGCGTTGAAAGTTTCTTGTTTATGTTTACTGGCTTTTTACCAAACAAATGAACAAGGTTATGAACATGTTTAATCACAAACTGCTATCCCCTTTTTCATCTTTAAGCACTGAAGATGTGATTTGTCTGCAAAAGTTATTAACAGTATGCGTTTGGCTTTACTTTTGTTTGCATGTAACTAAAGGACGTGGAGTGGTCAGACAAACATTATGTGATGCTCTGCAGAGAAGTGTTAATTATAAAGCCCTATTAACATCCGCATAGAAGCAAGAAAAGAGGGTATGTATGGAACCATATAGCTATAAACCTGAATGGCTTTGATCATCCGAAATTCCAAGTCAATGAAAGATCCACAAGAGACAGACTGACCTTGTTAATTACCAAGAATAAAACGGATATGCGCCAAGAGGAAAATGCCTCTGGAATCGCTTGCGAAGAGACTGAACTAGACCAAGCTCTCAAAGAGATAATTGATAAGGAGAAGTTAGCCAACGAAAAAGGCTCCGAAGCAAAGAAAAAAGAAAAGGAAATAATACTCTGACATATCTCGAGTAAAACTGAACACAATGTGACCAAACACCTGTATCTGTGTTCTGCTACTCATAATACACCCTTAAAATGACCGACTTTAAGTGAAGAGTTTAAAATTTAGATACAAAATGCAATCTTTCATAATAGATACTGTCTTTTAGGTATATTTATACCTGGAAAATGAAAGTACATCCATAGTGAAAGTGCTTACGTGGCAAACTCCAGCCTTAGTAAATTTTTATATACTCAGCGTTTTCCGCGAACTCAGTGCAGTTCATATCCATTTTTCCTACCTTTGATGCTCAGTCGAGTGAGAAGGGAAAAGTTTCGAGACAATGGCCACTTTGTTTTCTTAATCCTAACAGCCTCGGGGTGGCTGAAAGTGGTTTCAGTCGTTCTAAACCTGTCAAATTATAACCGAACGACACACACCAAAAGCCACACACTGCATAAGGGCAAATAGTCTGTGAGGGAAATAGCACTTAGGACTATATGAAGGTCTTGCATACACTGGTAGAGAATAATTTTGCTTACTTTGTTAAACACGTGGTCAATTCTCAAAAGCCCTTCAGGCCACTTCGCTTGAAAGCACATGCAGCTTACGACACGAACCAACTCATGAAACATAACTAAATGTTTTTGTCTGTAATTGAATAGTATGGCGGTCTGTATTTAAAGTCTGAATTTTAATGAACACAGGCAGGTTTAACAACTATGACAATAACTCTTAGAAAAATAACTAGTGACAAAAACATATATCCATTCATATCTCGATGTTTCTACACCTCTGAATTCGCAGGAACTAGATTTAAAATGGACGATCCGTTCTAGATAAAGTGTGCCCCTTACTAGCCTCTCTATACAGTGCATGTATGAAAAGCAGAAGAAGAAGCTATCACGTCACTAAACTCTTCCAAGTTCTGCGGATCATAGCAAACTGTATTCATGAATAAAACTGACAGTCTCTCGAGTCAACAGAAGCCTGCAGAGAAACAAATGATCGGAAGCTCATTTTCGATTCGGGTTTTTGCCTGAGGGTTTTTCTATTTAACAGTTACACAAAGGAATTGAATGCTCATTGAAATGTCGTAATTCGTAATGCATATCAGAATTAAGTATTAGGACCTGCTATTTCTTGATTAAGAAAAAAGACGCGTGCGAGCGAACACCGTATAAACGGAAAATAAAGGCGTCCTATCAAGCTTTTTCTTCTATCGTTCCAAGCACCTCGCAGGCTCACCCATAAGAGTTGCTTACTGTCTAACAGTTTTCTGTCGTCGCATTTAGTTTTTAGAAGTTCTCTGCGTAAAGGGCATTTTACATGGATGACCTTTCATTCATCAAAGCGCCCTTGCACAACTTTCAAGAGAGTAAATGTAGTCCAGGAAGCCAATGGAACCAGATTTGCCCCTGCAACAAAAATGTGCTTTTTCCATCTTCTGCGCCAGACAGCCATGACTGCGATATTCTGAAAGCGAGTCTCGATGGCCAAGGATACGCCGGTGAAAAACCATTCAATCACCAGCGCAACTGAGGTATGAACAACAAATTCCTGAAGCAGCTTTAAAAGTGGAATGTTTTTTAAGTAAGTGAACTGATACAAATACAAGACGCCATTAACAGACACAATAGCAGTTGATTCACATAACATGCTTAAAATGGCAATATCTGCCATTAATCTCTCACGGCGAGGAGTGCGTAAACTTCCCCAAGGAGCTGATCTTCTTTTTAAGATCACATGACAAATATGATCAATAAAGACCATGGTGCTTCGTTCTAGAACTTCTACCGCGCCGTGTATTATTCCAAGAACAGCGATGAATGTGAGGTTATGAAGTTCTGCCTGCATTACTCGAAACATGATCGCTGATCCAAAATACAACGGCACTAGCAAGGTGTACGAGTATCCTGGATGAATAATTCTCGTCATGCGCTGAGCGCAAAGTCTTAAGATTACCTTAAAGATAACTGCAAGAAGAGGTGAGAAGAGTGCAATAAGGAGTTTACCATGTTCAGTTTGCTTTTGGTACATTGGATAAATAAACGATTTTATAAAGAAGCCAGTAGAGACGGTGAAGAAGTAGGGTGTTGTCAATTTTATAAATAAACTCGTTCTACTCGACAGGTTCCGGAAGTGATTTGTTAGAAGATGAACTGGCCAGCATATGCTCATTAGAAATAAAACGTTGAGAGTAATCCTCTGAATCACAGAAATATGAGATATTCCAAGGGCTCGAAGGACAACACGATACACTACATCCACACAGAAAAGGAAAAAAGCAGCAAGAAAGAGTTTTCTTTTCACACCCTTTAACTGATACGGTCGAAAAAGAAAAAGCATTCCTACAAAGAACCACATATAATAAAAAGTAACACTTATTAAGTCTAACAATGTTCTGATCCACTGTGTTTTAACTGAGATTCTCTCCTTCGAGTGAAATTTCCAGTGCCTCATCGGTTCGGATGAGACGTAGGAGATCATGGTATAAAAAAGGCCGAGGATAACAGCGGTTAGAAGTGAAATCAATGCGCCGATGTACATTGATTGACAAACTGTGCGAAGAACAGATGGTCTGAATCGCTTCCAAGCCATTTCATCATCTTCATCTTCATCTTCCTGTTCGTCTTCACTCTCTTCTGGTGAGCTTGCATTGATGATCCGATATCTAACTCGAGAGTTCCCTACTGACAAGAAATAATAATCGTTGTCCGATGGCGGTGAATATTCCTGATAAATAGGTTTATCAACGGGCTGACAATTCCACTCTCGACCCTCAGTGCTTAAGCTATCGTCATATCCAAAGATCTCCACTTCAGGCTCATCGGTGTCGTAATGCTCTGTCACGCCGCGTGTGAAGCTGAATAAAATACGGGCTAAAACTTCAACCAGAAAACTGTTATTCATTATCCGCGTTAGAGAGTTTCGAGTGAACACTTGAGATCTTCGATACCGAACGAATGTGTTTCGAATAAGCTCCAGGTTTTTTATTATAATGTTTTGAAAGTGGAAATGCTAACAAAGGAGAAACAATTCTCCGACCATCTGCATGTTAGCGAAAGTATTGATTATTCCACTTTTTTACTGAATATTGAAGAAAAAAAAATGTTGACGATTAATATCATTAATTTATAAATTTCCATCGTTTGAATTTTTAAACAAATGCTGTACTCATCGCTATATTAGGCGTGACGTAAAATTTTGTTTTCTCCGCGGTTTAGCCCATTGTTCTTGAATATCCATCGCTGATTGTAGCTCTGAAAGTGAAATTACTACACCGAATCAGTTCTACGTCAATTTTAAGCCGAGTAGGTTGTCCTTAAGGCAAACACATCTTCGATGACTTCAAGATACGTTCCCTAAGTATCAGTGTCGTAAAATGTCTCTTCCAATTTCTTTCACCATCATGGAACTTCGCTTCAAATAGATACGTGCCGTTTGTCCACGATTGAAAACGGTTAGAGAGTTTTTGCCAAATAGGTTCGAAAGCCAAATGATATCAAATGACCGTGACTCTTTTGCATGGATGAAAAACTTCCTTAGCAGAAACACCGTGTCGAAAATAGGCTTTCGGTTAATATTTTGAAGCGAATGAAATAGCTCTTACCAACCGAGTTGGAGGTCCGTACTTATATATAAGCTATGGAACAATTTTTTTCTGCTCGGATTTATAGATCAAGCTTGAGGCTTACGTAAAAGAACTGAACGCTTGTAAATTAATCGCATGGAACTGTTTAATTGCCGTAGAAGATTAGAAAAGTATGAGCAAACGCAGACATTATTTATTGAGGATGCGAAGTCCTGTCATTCTATACGCGCATGAAAGGATACTTTGACATATCAAGTGGTTACTTTTTGAACAAAATTGAAAGAATTCTGATGGGGGAGGGAGGCTTAATGGGCTCTATGCATTTTAAAATGTTCGCTACACTCGCTCAATCAGTACTGGATATCGATTCACGATGCACCTGAAATCAGGAAGAATAAAATAATTTATTCGACACATTACGAAAGGTAACGATGATCATTGGAAAAAACTTAAGGCAGCTTATTTAGAAATAATAAATGAACATTGGGAAGCTACAGTTAAGTTGACCGATCTTCGTTATTTTGACTTACTCCGTAAATGTTGACCGAACATCACTGAAGCAGCGAAATCTAGGAACTCCAGAAGTTCTTACCCTAAAATGCAATGGAAGCTTTTTCAATCCGCCCCCAAGATTCCAGCAACAATTTTCCTAACTGTCTACTATTTACTTCAATTAACCTTTCAGCTCTGACAATTTTTTGTCGAATCAAACAATTTCCTTCATTATAATGCTTTAAATTATTGACTGAAATTATATGTCAACGAGCTGAAGTATTCATTCGACCACTATCGTACGCGGACAATGAATAATAGTTTGCTGATTGAAGTTGTTGCCTGTGTTTCATTCAGCTTCACACAAGGCGTGACAGAGCATTACGACCCTGATGAGCCTGAAGTGGAGATCTTTGGATATAACGATAGCTTAAGCAGTGAGGGTAGGTCGAGAGTGGAATTGTCAGCCTGTTGATAAACCTATTCATCAGGAATAGTCACCGCCATCGAACGACAATTACGATCTCTTGTCAGTCGGTAATTCTCGAGTTAGATTTTGGGTCATTAACGCAAGCTCACCGGTGTCAAAATGGCTTGGAAACGATTCAGACCGTCCGTTCTTCACACAGTTTGTCAATCAATGTACATCGGCGCATTAATTTCACTTTTAACTCCAGCCTTCATTGGCCTTTTATACGTCATAATCTCTTACGTCCCTTACGATACATGTGGTCTTTTTGTAGGAATGCCTTTTCTTTTTCGACCGTATCAGTTAAAGAGCGTGAAAAGAAAACTCATTCTTGTTGCTTTTGTCCTTTCCTGCGTGGATACAGTGTATCGTGTTGTCCTTCAAGTCTTTCGACTATCTAATTCTCAACTTTCTGTTTTTCAGAAGATTCCTCTCAACATTATATCTCTAAGAAGCATATGTTGGCAAGTTTATCTTCTAACAAATCACTTCTGGAAACTGTCGAGTAGAGCGACTTTATTCATAAAATTGACGACACCCTATTGCTTCACTTTCTCATGAGATTCTTAAAAGTAATCTACTGAACTTCACACCTGAATATAATTTCTGATGCACTCATGCAAGAATTCCACGCAGTGAACCAACCCCTGCTTTAGAGTTTAAGGCTCGAAAAGAATTTTTAATAGTGACTTTCAATATTCCGGCAAAAATAGACTTAAACCAATCTATTCTAAAGTTTTAAAAATATTTGCTAGACAATGTTAGATGCAGTGTTAGTAAACTTTTGCCCTCTAAGTACAACTGCTGGTGCGCAACTGAAAAGTCCCCTACTTCATCCTGAGGGGTGGGGTGAGGATTGAGAAAAGAGGACGCACAATTGGCTCTAATGTCTCATCTTCCATTTTTATTTACTTAATGACTGAGTGGAGGAACCAGAAAGGAGAATATTTGACTCGAGATCCTGACCGAGAGCCAAACATTTTCCCGTCCTTAATATTATGCGAAAACCTAATAGGGTAATTGTTTTATTATGCATTTTTTTGAAACAATCTGCCATGGAAGACACTTCTCTATGAGTTTACAAAAGTTTGAGAACACTTCACGGACGAGGGGCTTGGAAACTAGGCATACTCAACATGATAACCTAATATCTGCTGGGTTATCATGTCAACTTCACACGCCTATGTATACTGTCTCTCAACCAATCATAGTTACTCTAAGGTATAATATTCCTTATCATTTTGTTAATGTCAGAGAAGCAATGGTTGTTGTATATTAACAGAGATTTACATTGGTGATATAAAGTGGTCAGGTGGAAAACCTGCGGTTTGCCGTCCAGCAGTGAACGTGAGTAAATTTACGGGTATTTTTACCCAAAATCCACTTTCGTGAAAGAAATATAATCTCACTTACTTATTTGATTGTCAACGTATTTGTTCTTGGTATGTTTGTTCTAAAAACACCTGAAATCGTTTGATATATATCGTTGTGGACAAGCACCAGCGAGCCGCGTTGAAATTTCTTGTTTGTGTTTACTGGCTTTTTACCAAGCAAATGAACAAGGTTATGAACATGTTTAATCACAACCTGCTATCCCCTTTTTCATCTTTAAGCACTGAAGATGTGATTTGTCTGCAAAAGTTATTAACAGTATGCGTTTGGCTTTACTTTTGTTTGCATGTAACTAAAAGGACGTGGAGTGGTCAGACAAACATTTTGTGATGCTCTGCAGAGAAGTGTTGATTATGAAGCCCTACTAACATCCGTATAGAAGCAAGGAAAGAGGGGATTTATGGAACCATATAGCTATAAACCTGAATGGCTTTGATCATCCGAAATTCCAAGTCAATAAAAGATCCACAAGAGACAGACTGACCTTGTTAATAACCAAGAATAAAACGGATATGCGCCAAGAGGAAAATGCCTCTAGAATCGCTTGGGAAGAGACTGAACTAGACCAAGCTCTCAAAGAGATAATTGATAAGGAGAAGTTAGTTAACGAAAAAGGCTCCGAAGCAAAGAAAAAAGAAAAGGAAGAAAAAGCAGCTGCAGAGGAACTCAGAAAAACAGCTATGGAACGTTTAGGGCACACTCAAAAAAGGAATTCAGAAGGCGAAAGCGACAGAGCCCAAGCAAAAAAGAGTAGAAGGAGATCTTTTGATGTCGTGCCTTAAGGAAAAACATGAAAGTGAAAGCGATCAGAGAAAGGAGGGACTGGAGTTGAGAAAGATAGAGTAGCAGGCGAGCGTGGAGCTACAAAAGCAGCAGCATGATATGATGAAGCGATTCATGCAGCAGCAGCAACAGCAAACTCAAATACTGCTGTCTTTGCTTGCCAAAAAGAACTAAAGTAGAAGACCATTACAGGTATACGTGTATCTTGCAGAGTAAAAAACCGAAAATTTGTGTTGAAGATCAGTTACCGTTTTCCAAACATTGGGCCTATTTAGTTAAATATCTTCTGATATTTCTTCCAATGACGTTATTCATTTGTTGTGTTGCTGATTTATATTATTTTCTGACACTGGTAAATAAGCACATGCAGCTTACGACACGAACCAACTCATGAAACATCACTAAATGTTTTTGTCTGTAATTGAATAGTATGGCAGTCTGTATTTGAAGTCTGAATTTTAATGAACACAGGCAGGTTTAACAACTATGACAATAACTCTTAGAAAAATAACTAGTGACAAAAACATATATCCATTCATATCTCGATTTTTCTGCACCTCTGAACTCTCAGGAACTAGATTTAAAGTGGACGATTCGTTCTAGATAAAGTGTGCCCCCTTACTAGCCTCTCTATACAATGCATGTATGAAAAGCAGAAGAAGAAGCTATCACGTCACTAAACTCTTCCAAGTTCTGCGGATCATAGCAAACTGTATTCATGAATAAAACTGACAGTCTCTCGAGTCAACAGAAGCCTGTAGAGAAACAGATGATCGAAAGCTCATTTTCGATTCGGGTTTTTGCCTGAGGGTTTTTCTATTTAACAGTTACACAAAGGAATTGAGTGCTCATTGAACTGTGTAATTGCCCTAGAATATTAGAAAATTATTACCAAACAAATGAAGTCCTGTCATCGTGAAAGCATCTGAAAGGTTGTGTTCAAATAAGTGGTTAAAGATGATCGCGTAAGTTTCGAAAATACTGTCAACTTACTCTACGTATAATTCATATCGAGCATCCATAGTACACAATTCTATGTAAACACAGCGCACTTCAAATACACTTTCTTGAAAAGTTTAGAGTGATAGATTTCGTAATTCCAGTACCTATATGCATATCAGAATTAAGTATTAGGACCTGCCATTTCTTTATTAAGAAAAAAGACGCGTGCATGAGCGAACACCGTATAAACGGAAAATAATGGCGTCCTTGCAAGCTTTTTCTTCTATCGTTCCAAGCATCTCGCAGGCTCACCCATAAGAGTTGCTTACTGTCTAACAGTTTTCTGTCGTCGCATTTAGTTTTTAGAAGTTCTCTACGTAAAGGGCATTTTGCACGGATGACCTTTCATTCACCAAAGCGCCCTTGCACAACTTTCAAGAGAGTTAATGTAGTCCAGGAAGCCAATGGAACCAGATTTGCCCCTGCAACAAAAATGTGTTTTTTCCATCTTCTGCGCCAGACAGCCATGACTGCGATATTCTGACAGCGAGTCTCGATGGCCAAGGATACGCCGGTGAAAAACCATTCAATCACCAGCGCAACTGAGGTATGAACAACAAATTCCTGAAGCAGCTTTAAAAGTGGAATGTTTTTTAAGTAAGTGAACTGATACAAATACAAGACGCCATTAACAGACACAATAGCAGTTGATTCACATAACATGCTTAAAATGGCAATATCAGCCATTAATCTCTCACGGCGAGGAGTGCGTAAACTTCCCCAAGGAGCTGATCTTCTTTTTAAGATCACATGACAAATATGATCAATAAAGACCATGGTGCTTCGTTCTAGAACTTCTACCGCGCCGTGTATTATTCCAAGAACAGCGATGAATGTGAGGTTATGAAGTTCTGCCTGCATTACTCGAAACATGATCGCTGATCCAAAATAAAACGGCACTAGCAAGGTGTACGAGTATCCTGGATGAATAATTCTCGTCATGCGCTGAGCGCAAAGTCTTAAGATTACCTTAAAGATAACTGCAAGAAGAGGTGAGAAGAGTGCAATAAGGAGTTTACCATGTTCAGTTTGCTTTTGGTACACTGGATAAATAAACGATTTTATAAAGAAGCCAGTAGAGACAGTGAAGAAGTAGGGTGTTGTCAATTTTATAAATAAACTCGTTCTACTCGACAGGTTCCGGAAGTGATTTGTTAGAAGATGAACTGGCCAACATATGCTCATTAGAAATAAAACGTTGAGAGGAATCCTCTGAATCATAGAAATATGAAATATTCCAAGGGCTCCAAGGACAACACGATACACTGCATCCACACAGAAAAGGAAAAAAGCAGCAAGAAAGAGTTTTCTTTTCACACCCTTTAACTGATACGGTCGAAAAAGGAAAAGCATTCCTACAAAGAACCACATATAATAAGAGGTAACACGTATTATGTATAACAATGTTCTGATCCACTGTATTTTAACTGAGATTGTCTCCTTCGGGTGAAATTTCCAGTGCCGCATCGGTTCGGATGAGAAGTAAGAGATCATGATATAAAAAAGGCCGAGGATAACAGCGGTTAGAAGTGAAATCAATGCGCCGATGTACATTGATTGACAAACTGTGCGAAGAACGGATGGTCTGAATCGCTTCCAAGCCATTTCATCATCTTCATCTTCACTGTTCGTCTTCACTCTCTTCTGGTGAGCTTGCATTGATGATCCGATATCTAACTCGAGAGTTCCCTACTGACAAGAAATAATAATCGTTGTCCGATGGCGGTGAATATTCCTGATAAATAGGTTTATCAACGGGCTGACAATTCCACTCTCGATCCTCACTGCTTAAGCTATCGTCATATCCAAAGATCTCCACTTCAGGCTCATCAGTGTCGTAATGCTCTGTCACGCCGCGTGTGAAGCTGAATAAAATATGGGCTAAAACTTCAACCAGAAAACTGTTATTCATTATCTGCGTTAGAGAGTCTTCGAGTGAACACTTGAGACCTTCGATACCGAGCGAATGCGTTTCGAATAAGCTCCAGGTTTTTTATTATAATGTTTTGAAAGTGGAAATGCTAACAAAGGAGAAACAATACTCCGACCATCTGCATCTTAGTGAAAGTATTGATTATTCCACTTTTTTACTGAATATTGAAGAAAAAAAATGTTGACGATTAATATCATTAATTTATACATTTCCATCGTTTAAATTTTAAACAAATGCTGTACTCATCGCTATATTAGGTGTGACGTAAAATTTTGTTTTCTCCGAGGTTTAGCCCATTGTTCTTTAATATCCATCACTGATTGTAGCTCTGAAAGTGAAAATACTACACCGAATCAGTTCTACGTCAATTTTAATCTGAGTAGGTTGTCCTTAAGGCAAACACTTCTTCAATGACTTCAAGATACGTTCCCTAAGTATCAGTCTCGTAAAATGTCTCTTCCAATTTTTGTCCACGATTGAAAATGGTTAGAGAGTTTTTGCCAAATAGGTTCGAAAGCCAAATGATATCAAATGACCGTGACTCTTTTGCATGGATAAAAAACTTCCTTAGCAGAAACGCCGTGTCGAAAATAGGCTTTCGGTTAATATTTTGAAGCTAATGAAATAGCTCTTACCAACCGAGTTGGAGGTCCGTACTTATATATAAGCTATGGACCAATTTTTTTCTGCTCGGATTTATAAATCAAGCTTGAGGCTTAACTAAAAGAACTGAATGCTTGTAAATTAATCGCATGGAACTGTTTAATTGCCGTGGAAGATTGGAAAAGTATGAGCAAACGCAGACATTATTTATTGAGGATGCGAAGTCCTGTCATTCTATAGGCGCATGAAAGGATACTTTGACATATCAAGTGGTTACTTTTTGAACAAAATTGAAAGAATTGTGATTGGGGGAGGGAGGCTTAATGGGCTCTATGCATTGTAAAATGTTCGCTACACTCGCTCAATCAGTACTGGATATCGATTCACGATGCACCTGAATTCAGGAAGAATTAAATAATTTATTCGACACATTACGAAAGGTAACGATGATCATTGGAAAAAATTTAAGGCAGCTTATTTAGAAATAATAAATGGACACTGGGAAGCTACAGTTAAGTTGGCTGATCTTCGTTTTTTTTACTTACTCCGTAAATGTTGACCGAACATCACTGAAGCAGTGAAATCTAGGAACTCCAGAAGTTCTTACCCTGATATGCGATGGAAACTTTTTCACTCCGCCCCCAAGATTCCAGCAACAATTTTCCTAACTGTCTGCTATTTACTTCAATTAACCTTTCAGCTCTTTTTTTGTCGAATCAAAGAATTTCCTTCATTATAATGCTTTAAATTATTGACTGAAACTATATGTCAACGAGCTGAAGTATTCATTCGACCACTATCGTACGCGGACAATGAATAATAGTTTGCTGATTGAAGTTTTTGCTCGTGTTTCATTCAGCTTCACGCAAGGCGTGACAGAGCATTACGACCCTGATGAGCCTGAAGTGGAGATCTTTGGATATAACGATAGCTTAAGCAGTGAGGGTCGAGAGTGGAATTGTCAGCCTGTTGATAAACCTATTTATCAGGTATAGTCACCGCCATCGGACGACAATTATGATCTCTTGTCAGTCGGTAATTCTCGAGTTAGATTTTGGGTCATTAACGCAAGCTCACCGGACGAAGATGAAGACGAACAGCAAAATGAAGATGTCGAAATGGCTTGGAAACGATTCAATTCGTCCGTTCTTCGCACAGTTTGTCAATCAATGTACATCGGCGCATTAATTTCACTTTTAACTCCAGCCTTCATTGGCCTTTTATACGTCATAATCTCTTACGTCCCTTACGAGACATGTGGTTTTTTTGTAGGAATGCTTTTTCTTTTCGACCGTATCAGTTAAAGGGTGTGAAAAGAAAACTCATTCTTGTTGCTTTTGTCCTTTCCTGCGTGGATACAGTGTATCGTGTTGTCCTTCAAGTCTTTGGACTATCTAATTCTCAACTTTCTGTTTTTCAGAAGATTCCTCTCAACATTATATCTCTAAGTAGCATATGTTG